GCTGTAGTCCCAGGTATAAAAGAGTTTCAGGTTCAGCAGGAGAACACTGTAAGGTGGCCTTTCTGTAGGGTGGCCTCCATCAGATAGAGCTCTTACCTTGGGTCTACTAGGGTTCATTTCCACCAGAAGTTTACAACAACTAGGAAAAACTTCCTAGGCTGTGATTTCCTCCCACAGTAAGTGGTAGCAAACAGGCTATCAGCTGCCCTGGCAAAGCATGACACGAGCAGAGAGCATACACTTGCAGAGAAGTATGGGTCTACAGCCCTGAAGACACCAAAGTAAGAGGAGAGAAAAAAAGAGGTGCCCCAGCGTAGGAGCAGATGTTCTCCTACTTCCCCTGAAGGAGATCATGGTGGGGCATGGCAAGGAGAAGGGAGTGATGAAGTGGAGTTCTTATGGACTGACTCCAACCCCCCACTCTCCATCCTCTGCAGGAGGGAGAGGAGTTTGGAATGAAGGAGTGATTTGGAACCTCTGAAAAATGCAGGTTTGAGAGGAGGGGGGTTACTTCTTAAAAGTGTTTTTATTTTTTGTTTCTTACCATTCCATTAAATTGTTAGAGCATTAAATTAATTTTCCACAAGTCAAATCTGTTTTGCCTATGACAATAACTGGGGGACAATTTTCCTGTCCTCATCTCAACCCATGAGCAGTTTCATCATATTTTCTCCCCTGTCCAGCTGAACAGGAGGCTGAGTGAGCAGTTGGGTGGAGTTTGGCTGTTCACCACTGCTGACATGCCACACCTACAAGACAGAATTGTAGGTGGTCTCTAGTTCTGTCACTGACTATCCATAACTTTTTCCTCTGTCTAAAAGAGATGCAAAGATACTTCCACTGCAGTAGCACCACAGACATTAAGTATCTATAGCCTATAAAGTGGTATCTCCTTTTTACTCGTCATAATTATGCAGTGATTAAATAGAATCACTTTGTAGTGAGTGTAAAAGATAGTGAGTTAAAGGTATTTCATTAAACAATCAGCAATATCACGAATAGACTTAAGGAAGAAAATATTTAAAGTAAAAATATACCAGAATATGCCCCTTGGTTAATGTGTTTTATCTGACTATTGACAAAAATATTAGCCACTTAAGAGCAGTACAGTTATTTTATTAATAAGAATTAATACAAGCTAATTAATGATGCCATTGCAATTCAGTTGATCCCTCTTCCTTTTTAATGTTCAACTGAGCCATGATTCCCAAGGTATTTGAAGACACAAGATTAATTGTTTTTTGGTACAATTGTTATTTGTTCTGACTAGCAATGGCCTATTGACTTTCTGAGACAATGACATAAGATCAATGAGGATTTGGAGAAGATGAGTAAAGTAAGCCCACAAACACTGATGTCTTGAGTGACATAAATATTGTCACCTTTGCTACTTTGCTTTATGCAGCCAGAACGAGACAAAAGCTGTTACTGGTCAGTGTTGCTTTAAAAAGCCTCTGTGAAACAAAACAGGCAGAGCTCAGCCTACTTCAAAGATGCTGTTGATTAATATGAGGTCAATATGTTCTACTGACACTGAAAAGAGACTGAGGATAGATTTTTAGGAGAGGCAGAAACTGCTCTAGTCCCTTATGTTCATGTGATTGGAAAAAGCATACACAATGATGATGGCTGCTATGCCAGGGCAACGTGTTTCCTGTTCCAGTATGTATTTCTGGACCTAGTGTATATGGTGCATCCTGTTTTGATGTAGGTCTTGGCACTGGCACATGTGCTGAAGTTCTGTGATAAAGAATACGGGAAATATTCCTTTATTTGGGATTCTTTATATTTCCACCATCCCTTGCTTTAAAGAAGCAGAACTGTGTACTCCTTCAGTGTGAAGAAATACAGCTGTGACTGTAATGAAGGTTCTGACACTGACTACAGGAAAGTATTATTGCTGACAGAATGTAGCCTCCAATGTTGTGAGTCCTCATAGGAGGAAGCTTTCCAATATTTCTGTCTTTACAAAAGATCAGTTATGTTTGAAAAGTTTCAAATCATGTTTCCTTATAATAGTGCAAATTAGTCAGTTGCTTCAGTACATAGGTGTTGTCTTGGGTATGTAAAATGGAGAGTTACTAAAGCCAAAGGAATTTTGGACATCAAATATGGAAGTTGATGTAAGCTTGTTGACATGGGGTTTTGGTAAGTTTTAGGAAGTAACAGCATAGGAACTGTGCTTCATTTCCTTTTTGCTTCTTTTTGAAATAATACATTTGAGGAGGACATGTTGTTGGAGAGCCTGTAAGAGAAACACAGTAAAGGCACATAAAGACTGGGAATAGGATGGTGCTTAGAAGGCAGTGGTTGAAGTTAGGGACAAAATGCAAAAAGAAAATGCAGAGGCAGCCCGGGTTTTGTTACAGTCACAATTTCACTCCTAAGTCTGGAAGGATTCCTAACACCCATGTGTTTCTTCTGTATCACCTCTTTGCACAATTTGGGATACAGCTTATCCCTCCCCACTGCTGTTCAATTCCCCTGCACAGTCTTACAGAATTCCTTTCTCTGTTACCTGCAGATTCCTGGGAAAATTCCTCTTTCCTGTCTCTTAACCTATGAATCATTTTCCAGGATGTGCGTCTCAGCATCAAGTAGGAAATATGAGAGGTGCTGGAACTCACTGTGAGTGAAAAAAAACAGGGAAACAGGGAGTCTGTAGAGCTCCCATATCTACTACAAGGAACTGCTTCTTTAAAGCAGTGAGGCTGTGTTAGCAAGTCACTTGCCCTCATCTTCTTTTGAGCTACCTTAGGACTCTCTGTTGGCTGTTGCACTGTATAATGTGGGATTCCCTGTCTAAACACTCAGGTGAACACAGGGAGTGTGCTGTACATACACTGTGCAATAGCCATGATTGCACAGTTCTGGTGTTAGCAAGCAGTTCTTCCTTATGCTAGCTGAGTGAAGAGAGGCAGTGACAAACTGTTTGAATTTGTACAGTTCTCTCCTAGATGTAAAAAGTATTTGATGCGCCTTAACTACAGTGTTCAAACGTATTTCTATTTGGCATGTGGACAAAAAATAGCAAAACCACAAAGGAAATAAGAATTTTTTTTGGAAGCAAAGTCATCCCCTTAATCACCTGTAATTATGTACCTAACGAATAATAGGCTTTGTTTTGAGAGTTCTATGAAGGTTATTTGTAAAGAAAAATATTTATAAATATTGTGGTTTTAAAAGTGTGAATGTATTTAAATGAAAATATGCACTTACAGTCTCAATACCATTAAAGTTTGCTTGTAAGAATAAATATCTAGTTGCATTGTGTCAAGCACATAAATGAGGACTGTCATGCATGTGAAGAAACTGCATTGTTCTGCTGTTTCTGAACTAAATGACAAAAGCCACAGAGTAATTTGCATAACTTGGAGATTAGAAATGTATCTCTTTATTCTTATTAATATACTTGCCCTTCTTAATTATAAAGATTTGAATCTTATTTTAAAATAATTTTCTACAAAATATTCTTAGGGGTAGAAGCTGCATGTTAATTCTGAATGGATTATTTGCTTAACCTTACAAAACAGATAAATTGCTTCTGTTTGATAATAGCCAATTAAAAAAAAAAGGATTTAGGATAGCTGTCAAAAATACTGATGCCTATATAGGAAAAGAGGCCCTAGTTTAGCTGGTTTTATCTGTCATGTGTATACCTTTACACACAAGATTTGCATTTCTGTTGATGTCAGTTACAGTTTACTGTATTTTAAAAAAAGATAGAAAACTTAGAATTTCAGATAAACTTTTCCCATATTTTTGTAAAACTCTTAAATTTATTTCAGCATCAGTTCTCCTGTGAGTCTGTAACACAAGAATCTTAACTGATTCATAGAGTCACAGAACAGTTTGGGTTGGATGGGACCTCTGGACATCACCCAGTTTAATCACCAGTTCAGGGCAGGGGCAGCTACAGAAAGTTGCCCAGCTCTGTGTCCAGGCATAGTGTAAAGATCTCCTCAGATGGAGATCTCATAACTGCTCTTGGCCACCTATGCCAGTGTTTGATCACCCTTACAGTAAAAAATTGCTCTTTTGTGGTCAAATGTAATTTCAAGTGTTTCATCTTGTACCATTGCTTCTTCTTAGTCATTGCATAGAAGAACCTGCCTCTCATCTTTATTCCTGTCCATCAGGTATTTAAATACATTGGTAACACCCCTCTGATCCTTCTCTTCTGTGGGCTGAGCAGTCCTGTCTCCCAAGATATCCTCATCTGAAAGATGCTGTAGTCCCTTAAACTTATTTGTTTTCTTTCACTGAACTCATTGCAGCAAATTCCTGTCATGCTCTGGGGACCTCAGTAGTCCAGATGTGGCCTCAACCACGGCTGAGTTGCAGGTAGAATAGATTCACTGGTATATTATCTGATGAATTCTGACACGTTGCAGATAACTGGGGACAGCATCTCTGATTTGGGAGGAAATCTGAATGCTGTTTTGTGAGAAGAAAGTTAATGCTTTGAAAGGGCGGAAACAGGACACATCTAGACATCAGTGCAACAAAATAGGGTGAACATGCCCATACAATGAAGGAAATGAATGGCAAACAAGGCTTCCAGAGAGGCCTCCATGCTCCCAGGAAGCCCTGTCTTCCGCACAAGGAAAGACATTCTATATGTCTGTACTGTTTTGAAAGACAGGTGTCTGCTAGGGGAGGCAGGAGCCTCCCTTGGAATAAAAAATGTAAACCCTCTCCCTCTGAATTATTCTAATTTTGAAATTAAGGGGCTCTCAGGCAAAGCTATGGGGGTAGGAATGTCAGTTCTTTACTGGTGTGTACAATAAAGCAGACAGCAGCAGCTCTGGCACTCACACCAAACAGAGCAGGCCCCAGTGACCCCTCCCGGCCGCGGGCGCTCTCCCCTCATTGCAGTTCCGGGCACGGCCGCCAGGGGGCGCTGCTGCTCCCGCCGGGAGGGGCAGGGATTCCGCCGTGCCGGCAGGGGGCGCTGTGGTGCGGGCTCGGGCCACACGCGGAAATGGCGGCTCGGCCCAGACGGGGAGGGATAGGAGAGAGGCTTCGCTTCACAAACCCCCCCTAAGGCAGCTGATCCTGGTGTTCCAGCAGCACTTATGGAAACAGCTAGCTGGGCCGACAGGAAAGAGCAAGAATAAAAAATCCCGGGGTGGTAGCAAGGTGTAGCAGAAGCTGCGGAGCTGACGGGGATAGGTGACCGGAGCAGGCAAGGATAGGTCTCTTGTTTAGTGAGGTAGGGTGTTAATAAGGTCTCCGTCCAATGGCTGCTCTTATGAGCAAAGGCTCACCCACAGAAAGGACGAGGCAGTACAGGACTGGGCTCCAGCAGTGACTGGGAATTCTCTTCACAGTAATCCACAGCTTGCCTGTCCTCCAAAACCCAAAGCAAGACCCCCTGCAGCTCCTCCAGCCCCGTCTTTTGCCTGTCCAAATCTCCAGGTATCCCCTCCCCTATCCCCTGAGTCTAGCCACTCTTGTTTTTCTTAGGTACCCAGAAGTACCCAATAGTTAGTTTTCTAGCAACTTGTGGGAAAAAATTCTGTAAGTACGAAAGAAAAAACCAAAACCAACGCCCAACAATGTCTAGATGTTCAATAAACACAAGACATGCGGTGTGTCACAGGAAGTATCAACAGGTAAACGTTGGCACAGTGTAGAAGACAGTCTGTTCTTTAAATAGTACTATTTTTGCTCTGTTTCCTACACAAGGTTCTGTGAACATTGCACTTGACTATTTTTTTTTTCTATGAACCATGATGACATTTAGATTAAACTCAGATTTTCTTTACAGTTTTGAGTTCAATACTTCCCATCAGGGTAGTATGTTTATTCATGATAGTGTCTGTCAACCCCAGAAATGCAGAAAACTGAAGATGCTTCATTCTCCTCCTGGCAAGGGACAATTGGTTGTACGTGTAGACTGCTGTAGTAGATGGAAAGTAGTTGTAAGAAACCTAACAAAATATGAAGTACACACAGGAATAAAAATGAGTAACTACTAAATTTGTCATTCTTAGGGGAAAAAAATCAAGTACACAACATTTGCAAGCAGCAATTTTATTCAGAATCCCCAAGGTACAGTATTACTATTGAAAATGTCTCACTTAGGCAAGCTTCACTGCTTTTAAAAGGCAGAAAAAGTCAGTGAACATCTGGCTGAGATATATTATCAACATAGTCCTTACCCTGCTTTTGTCTCCTCATGCAGTTATCTGGAGACTCCATCTTCTTAGCAGTATCTCTTTATCTTTGGTCTCCATAGGCTTTTCCATATTCTGGTGACAAAAAGGACCTGGCTTCAAATGCTGGTATTCAACAATAAAAACTAAGTGTGGGTGCCTTGTATATATCCTTGAATTTCAATGTGGCAGACAGTTAGAAATCAGAATATCAGAAATAATGATGGGAACTGGGATATTAGTAATATAATTTAATTGATTTTATGATCTTAACTTACCCAGGATTTACAGAGGCAGCTTTATGACAATGATTAAATTGATCTCTTTGCTGTTTTATAAAGGTATTTACTCTCTATTTACAGATAGTGTTACTTAGTATGGGTTTTTTAATCTGATAAGTCTTCATATTTTTCTTTAAAACAATTCTTCCTTCACTAAAGAATGTAATCATGATCTGGTGGTGTCTGCATGATCAAATTTTAATCTAGTTAGTTTTGTTTATTCAGCTATTATAGCCTATCAAAATGAGATCTCTAGTAGAGCAATTATTCTGAAGGAAGAGTGTCTGGCTTTTAAAAACTGATATTGCATATATTCTACTTGTTATTTGGAATTTTTATTAGCTTGGGCATCTGCCTGGACTTGACAAGCATGATCATGAATCAAATGACAAAATAAATAATACTGCTATTTGATGGAGATGAGAAAAACAAAATAGCCATAATTAATTCCTAAAGAACAATAGCAATTTGTAGTCTTTCCCCCTGTGGAGTGTGTGTATGTGTGTGTAAATAGGTCCTTCTTCTGCCATCATTTGCATTCACAGTTTGAAATTATTTGGGATTACTGGGAATCACTGATTCAGAATGAGCCAATATGGTGGTGATTGTGTTGCTGTGTCTCATGCTGGCAGTCCCTTGCTAGCCATGCTGGCCTGGTGCTGCCAAGGCTACCTGATAGCACCCTGTGCTTGTCACAGTTCCATAAGATGAACCATGCAGATTATTGTGTTAAAAAGAAGCCCTTCACCTAATTTTTCTAATTTTTCATATGGGTAGGAGCATAAAACAGTCAAACTATTTCTACAAGCAGGGAAATTAAAAAAAAAAAAGATTTTATGTGTTTAGGATGTTGTTGGATACAGTGATGGGAGATAGCACAGAATTACACAGGTGCATAAGGTGAAATAAAATGCATGTAAAAAATGAACAATGGACAGCAATATGGATTTTGGATCTTTCACTTCCAGACTTTGACTTTCACAGTTTTTCTTCTGTAAAGTCATTGGATAAATCAATTTGCATTCCTAATGATGATGAGGTTTTTTTGTTGACTGCTCATGCCTTTCTGAGGTAATATTTTATTTTTTTTTTCTTCCTATTCTTTAAGGAAAGCAAATCCTTGTTAATAGGTATCTGCCAAGTCTTTACATTTTTTTATGTTATTGGCAAAATCCTGTAGGGATTAAGATATGAAAACTTCCATTTGAACTCTTTCTCTGCTGGATTTTGTCACTCATCTCTCCCTACTGCATCACTATTTTTTGTGATGTATAACAGCATTGCTTTCCCTGACAAAGCAAAAGAAATCAAAACTGAGAAAAACGACAAATATGTCACATCTTTGAGGCAGAGCTGAAGGGAAACCTTTCGGAAACAAGTTGGTTGCATTTAATTATTCTAGGTCCTTCAAGATAAAACCCATCATATTTTTATGTTCTGAGGTTATGAATGTCTATTTGTTGAGTGCACATGAAAAGGAAGCTTTTGGATTTGGTATGAAAGGACAGAGATTTAAGAATGTCCTGATCAATGTGCTGAGATTGTTTGATGCAAGTCCAGAAAAAACATCAGCTGTACGATTGATGCAGCACATACAGTGACTGGCGAGACAAATTGTTCTGCTGGCCAAAGAGAAGTTTGGGTCAGAAAGGTCTACCTCTGACATATTTTCTTATGATATTTCATTTTCAGCTTTGCCAACCACTTGACAAGTTAAACTCCCTTTGTACTGTTACAAAATAGTGAGCGCAAAATGAAGATCTGGAACCATTGGCACATTTGGGCCGTTATTTAAAGTATTACAGCTTGCAGTATCATAGACTATTGTAACATATTGAGGTAAAATAATTTTCATGGGGACAAATGGTCATCCCTATTGCACATACTGGCCATGTATGGTACCACAACTTCTAGTTCTAGATAACACCCATGAAATATTTTATATGGTAATGTATTGTTTGGGCGAATTCCAGTTGGGAAAGATTGAAGTCAGCTAAAAGCAGTTACCATATAATTGTAAATAGAATTTGTACTTTGTGTTAAGTATTTTTAGTGTGCTTCCTGGCGTCATGTCTCCTAGTTTTGTTTATCAGATATCAATTTTGAGAGAACAGAGACCTCTTCTCTCACACCATAGGATGACTAAATGAGCCTTCCTGTCTCTTTGTATTCGTGGGTGACAACTGTTTTATGTTTTGAGCTGTGTTTTGCTACCTTTCCTTTGCCAGATGGGAAATACAGAGTAAGCAGAGAAAAGGTTGCAGCAGCTGATCTACACTGGAGATCTACAAGGAGATCTACACTGACTGTACTCAAGCAAGGCAAGTTGATTCTTGCAGATTCTCAGCCTCTTAGGGTTTGCTTAATTATTACAATATCTGGTGCTAGACTTTCACATCAAGTTTAGATTTCCTTTCTACACATTCAGGGACTTTCTCTTCCTCCAGTTCACTTCTTTCATGGATCATACCAAAAATCAGCAGATATGTAACACCTAGACACAACAACATAAAGAGGAATATCTAATTCATTAACGTATGTTAAGAAAAGCAACAGAGAAATGTTTTTTTCATAATTTACATTTGTCTGTTAAGTTCTGGTTCTTGGTTGTTGCTGCAGAGCTGTCCTGTCTTCTGGTACCTACTGCACACTGAAGTCTCTTGTGAGCCCCCAAACGGCAGAGCAGCCCAGAGCACTTCCCTGTGTGCCTATTTCCATGCTGGCACAGCAGTGAGAGATGTGGCAGCTCATGTATCGGGGAGAATGTCTCTGACTCTTAGCACCTTGCAATTTAAAACCATTTTAGAATTGCCTTGCACTGAAAAGTGGAGCATCCTCCTTTCCCCTATGAATCTCTGTGTGAAAATTGCCTTGTCAGACAGTACATGCATTGAACTCAGGTATGCTCTTTATGCTGGGTTGGTCCAACAAGGTCCAGCAATGAGGAATTGTGGATGGAAGAGTGATTTATTTTATTTTTTTTTGTTTCTGTTTATGCTACTTCCGTAATAGAGCTTAGTTGATAGGTTTTGCAGTGACAAGGTTTATGAAGGTAAGGCAGGGAAATGTGACATTGCTCTGGCTCTGCAGTGTCATTTGAGACCTGTAGGATACTGCTTTAATGCCAGTTACTATTACAAATCCCAATTGCAATTGAAGATCTCCTGTAAGTTCTGTATCACATCTGCTAACCTTTGGCTGATGTCTTTGAGACCTTAGGGCATCCATCTAAAATGAAATTTAGCAGATTTGTGTGGGTACCAAGTCAACCTTTTTTATCTGAAGTGAGACCTTGTGTATCTAGTGCATAGGTGGTCACCTCTATTTTGGTATCTATGGTCTAGACTTGAATCCTGCCCTATATGTCTTGTACCTAATTTACACATCAACTTAGTGGCTGCTTTGAGAAATTACACTGTCTGAATCTGTGTCCCACATCCAGAAGTCTCAATATAAGACGGTGAAGACAAGGGAGAGGAGCAGGAGCAAGAACTGTTGAGAGACCTTACCATGGACCAGCCCACTCCAGCTGGCTTCTCTTTGTGCAGCTGTGTGAAAGCTGAGTTCTCGGGCAATGCTGCCCTACATGAAGGTGGGCAGTGGTGTAGACAAGTGGCAGTATATATGTCTTGGAGCTACAAAACCCCTAAGCTATTGGAAAGTATGGGAATGGTTGTGTCTTCCTCCAGTACAACTATCTTGGCCTTCCAATAGGACTTCAAAAGGATATTTGGCAAAATCTTCCCACTCTCCCCTGGAGCAAACAAATGTGCCATCACATCTGCTTAAATAAACACACTTTCACTAAGATAACTAAATAGCTGGAAATTGAGGGTTATTTGGGTTATTATTCTTGTTTAATGACATATAATAGAAATGCAATCCCACAAAGTATATTTAATTGTCAATTTGAACTGAATATGTACAGCATAGATCTGCTAGTCCTACCATGAGTTTCTTTAGGCTGACATTTCCAGGTGATTGCCTGCTACCCACCCTGCTGCCATCAAACCACCGGCTGTATTTCAGTATTTAATGTTTTCCTTATATATAACACTGTAACTTAATGAATGAAACACCACAGTTTTTGCCATGCTAATAGGCTGCTGAAAACACAGATTATTCTTCAGCATGAACTTTGATCATTCTTCTAGACAGTACATTTTCAGATGCCATCTTTAATTTGTGATATTAATACTCAACTTGATCACTGTTCAGTGGTTTTACTGAAGTATTTACATATAGATTGGTGAAGTATTTTTTTCTAGAGTACTGAAAGCTCCCCAGGCCGAATTGGAATCATAAACTTAACCACAGTATCTGTATGACATGAATATGATTTTTTGCTTATGAAATTGCCTTGGAGGTTTACTTTCAAAGCAAATTGAGTGCATTTCCTCGGCTTCATACATTTAGCTCTGAACTACGTGGGGAATGACTCGGCAAGTGAGTGTTTTGAATGAGCAGCAGTGAATGTATTCTGAGAATTGTTTTTTTCCACATCAGCGCCCTTTTAAGAAAGATGAACTATTTCAGTGAGTTTAAAAAAAAAAAAATACACTTTAAAATGATGAAATAATTAGTTAAGATCTACATTACTTTATTATGGAAAAAGAAACCTTTCCCAGAGTAATAGCTTAGTTACATAAAGTACCCTTTCATTTTATATTAAAATGGAAAGATAGACCTGTTATATAAAACTTGGACCACTACTATTAATTATCTGATTTCAAGATCACCTCTGGCTGTTAAAAAGATTTATAATAATCTGTACTTGATAGATTCAGAAGGATTAAAGGAGTGAAGGAGAGCGAATAAAAAGAGAACATCTTCCCGTCTTCATTGTTAGATGACCTTGTGCCATGGTACGTTTAAATTGCTTACTTCCTATAACTCTATAAAGTTCTGTGTTTTCATTTCTGGATTAGATTGAAGTGTCAACTATTTTTGATGAATTACACTAGTAATATATGTTCATGTTCTTCTTTGCTCTTTTTTATTTATATATGTCCAGTATAATTTAGTTCACCTAAAAAAAGCTTTTTAGGAAAGATTTTTTTTTTAATTACAGTTTTAGCAAAGTATTTTTGTTTTTGTTTCTGTTTTTTTTTTAAATGCCTTTATTGTTGTTCTGAAGAAATAAAGTGTATATTCAGCTGTTTAAAAAAAAAAACTTAAATGAAGTTTATGTCAAATGTCCTGGTTTTCCATGTTCTGAAATTGAGAAAAAAAAAGAGAGCTGTGAAAAAACAAAAAAAAAAGGACAAGTTATTGCAGTTAGTAATTTAAACCTTTACCCTTTAACTGGATCTGTGTGAAACTACTGAAATAAGGTCTCCCTGCTAGAGCAAAGGGTTAGCCTTACCTTCAGTACTGGGGTCTTATTTATTTATTGCTGAAAGGTGCAGAGGGGAGCAGAGAGCTTTAAGTGCTTTACTTCCGTTATTGAAGATTCTCACTGATGCAGAACTTGAAAGCAAATAAAATCAAGACGCATTTATATACAGTATGTGTGCTACTGACTGGAATTATAAAGGATGAGCCATACATGCACTAGTTTATAGACTCACATCAGAAGGGACAGAGGTATCTTTAGTTAACTGTATTTTGTGCTGATTAAGTGAGATTGACAGAGTTAAGTTATACCATTAATCTGTATATTTTTCATGTGAAAATTGTATAAAGAGCAACAGCTTCTCTATACATTAGATAGCCCTGATATCTCCAACTGCAGTGAACATATTATGTGTAACCAAAAGTACAAAGTATAACCATCAAGAAAGGACAGATTTGTATTTCTTCTTAACTCTGGGATTTTAAATGAAGATAGTTGTGTTATTTTCAGGTTTTGTTTTGTCATAGTGAAAACTCAAATCTGAGATAAATGCTTATTTTTCTGAAAGAACAGAGTGAACTCAGAGATGTCTGAGCAGAGGAAATCTGTTGTTGCAACTTTGATATTGTGAAAAATACTAAAGAAATCTAATAAAAACCTCCAAGTATTTATATATATTTTACTTATTTCCTCATTTTAGGAGCTGTCATGAGGGAATTAACTGCACTATACGATACAGGGCAACCTGACCTTATGCTATGTGGTGTATATGGTTCTCAGCTTTTTCCCCAGTTGCTCACAGGAGTGTGAGCACATGCTACAGTGAGAATAAAAACAACCATAAGTTATAAATGGTTAACTATCAGAAGAAGTTTTATATCAGTGCTTACTGAATCTCATGAATATCAAGAGCTTTTTGTATCTTTGTCAAAGCAGTCCACACTTTCTCTTGTGGCTTTAAGCGGCTTCTCTGACTATTAGATTTCAGTATCCCACTGTGTGCTGTGTACACATCTCAAACAGAACTGGAGCTGCAGCTGTAGGTCCACTACAAATGGTGATAAGGAAGTACCTGCTGTCCTATCTCGTCCAAATACAGTATTTGATTGACTGGAACAGTTCCTCAAACTGTACGGCCTTTCTCCAATGGCCACTTGTCATTTAACTTTGTTGTTAACTGGCTTGGTTGTGTTGTATTTTTCTTTCCAAAACAATAGAGAATCTTGAATGAAAAAAAGTGATAAAATTTGCTCACAAAATGAGACATCTAAACAGAAGTAATTAAAGTAACAACACTGTCATATGCAGTTTATTACTGTGGTTCAAATACAGGAGTAATTTAGGAGATGTAATCTTCTGCTTTTAGCAAAAGATTTTCTATTGTGGACTTTACTGATTAATATTGGATGTAGTGTGCTTTTGCTGGCTATTTTTCTATTGTCTTGTTTCTTCTTCCAGTTGTTTTTAAATTACAACCATAGCTTTCTGACAGAAACATGTTGCTGTGGAGAAAAAACATAGGATGGATTGGCACTTAGGAACACCATTCTAGGCAGCTCAAAAGCCAATTGCTCCATTCCTAGGAAATGACTTAATATTAAGTTCTGCAAGACTCTACCAAGTAGATGAGAAAGATAGTAGTTGCTAATGCTGTAAGCTAAAATGCTGCCTAGTATAGTGCGAGTCCTCTGACCTGAACCATGCCACTTTGTCTTATTCTGGTAGTACGAGCTTAGATTGTTAGCTGGGGGATGGAGAAGGGAAGAGGCCAAGGATTGGCATGGGGAGGAAGATCTGCAAAGATTTTCTCTGTTAGTTAAAAGACAGAAAAAGTGTCCTTGAAAGGATGTTCTTCACAAGGACCCATGTCAACTGTCTGAAGTAATACAGAGGAGTGCTCTCTGGTGTGGTAGCTTATCTGTAGGTAGTTATCATTTTTCAGGATACTTCTTGGGATGTTTTTGGCTCTGGCAAACTATCCAAAAATTACACCAAAAATTACATTCAAGGTATGTTTCCCATTTTACTGCATAAACTGGCCTGAAGGTACAAGAGTCCTTCTAGAACTGTAAATATCTCTTGAAACCCACTACAATTCTCCTATAATTTCTAATTTCCAGCTTGTGAAAAAGAGAGGTGGAATGGCAATGAAAGAAGCAACTGCCCAAACATCTTGCAATGTCTGCTCAGGATGCTGTGTGGTTACCTTTCACCCACCTGGGGTGAACTTGGAAAGGTGGCTGTTAGATGGGGATAGAAGGAGTGTCTTCCAGAGTATAGTAAATGGAGAAAACTTTGTCTAAAATGAAGTGTTTCCAATTTTTTATTGTTTTAAACTTCTCAGGAATGGCAAACTCAGCCGTGACAAATGGAGCTTGAACTAGGACATGGTATCATGCTGCTTTGGTTTCACCCTGAAAACCTTCTGCTGTCTCTGCAGTTTTTTTTACATCTTCTAGGGATATACTCTGATATTAGCCTATTTCTAATTTAATTTCATTATCTGCTTGCATTTTTTGTATCCTTGTGTTCATTTATCTTAAATTAATTGTATAAATTTTCTGTTCTCCCTCTGCACCTGAAATTTTATGCTGCTTATGTATCCCTTTTATTTATCTCTCAATATCTTTTTCAATCCTGTTTTTATTTGCTATGGTCTTTTTCTCATCCTAGTGCACATATTGTTGGATAATACGTACCATCCTTGGATATGTTGTAATTGCTTTCTGAACAGTTTCCATTTCCTCCGTGTCCTTCCCTCCTCCCACACCTCCCATTAGGCGCTTAACCCACTGGATTGCCTCCAGCACTTCCCCATTCTTCTATGTTCAAAGTCCTTGGGGGTTTTTTATTCCTCTTGTAGGTTTAGTCTGCAGTAATGAATCCAACTGGATTATGGTCATTAGTGAGTCCTCCACCTCTGTCTCCTAACAGCTGCACAGTTGAAAGTCAGAACTTTCGTCTTTTTTGTCACCTCTTAATACAGCGAGGATATAGTACATGACTGTTGCTTGATTTATTTCTCTCATTGTGTCCCTGTTCCTGTGTGTCTGGGTAGCTGAAATCTCCTCTTATTAGTTTTGACATTTTTCTATATCTCATATGCTTCTTGTTCTTTCTGATCCTATTTTTTTCTGGTTTATATCCAGTCCGTACTGCCACCTTGCTCCCCCTATTGCCTTGAATTTTGAGCTATGATGATCCTTTCAAACAGCCACAAAAACTTTTGGCTTCTTCAAAGTTGGAAAGAAAGAGTTTTCAACCAAGCCATTAGTACCTGAGTGGTGCCTGCCTTAGCAGGGCAAATTTCCCTGCCTGCAGCTCCCACTCACAGCGTTCTCAGTACTGTGGCCCCAAATCAAACAATTAAGCACATGTTCAAATTCAATCATGTGAGGAGCGGCAATAACTCACCAGGACTACTTACATGCTTAAAGCTGGCACAGGATTAAACTCTTTTCTAAATCAAAATGTTGGAGCTGTGATTTTAATGCAGCTTGGATAACAAAGGCTGTACGTCCTGACATGTGAAAGGTGCACAGTAACTCATTCTGGTTGATGTGTGGGTGTGGAGGCAGAGAATTCTATCCCACATTTATGTCGTAATAGCAAACGTGTCTGTGTGCATTTGTGAACACACACAATTGCAGGGAGCACAGCACATTGCAAAAGCAATGTAAAGAATCTAGACCTTATTCATTGCCTGTAGGTACAGTAAAAAATTCCTATTGACTTTAGTAGGTACAGTTTAGGGTGTGTTACAACAAACCCTGCAACAGCATTTATCAAACAGCTCCATACCATGGACATATCTCTTACTGCAGTCTGACTCTACTATGCCTTACATGGTATGTACAAACTTTACTGAGTGGTAGGTTGACTTAGTTTCCTTCTTCTGGGGTATGTTAATGCCTGAAAAAATATTTAATTAAGCATTTACAAATCATCTAATTTTTCTAACCTTTATCCTATCTCCTGCTCAGACTCTTCAAACATTACAATGATAGTCCTACTGAGTATTTAGATAATTATGTACCAACCCTTTCTATCATAGATGACTTAGGCAAATAGCAAATTTGCCTATTGTATCTTAGTTGTAGCATTGGGTGAGCATTGTCAAAATTAATACCCATATGAGACAAGGATATTTATTCTAATCCGTGTCTTGTAGTTTTCAATAATGTTTTAAAGAAAATTAAATCACCTCTGAAAACTGAATTCTCAGGGCAAAATTGCATATTGTCATACCCATGATGTGTCACATTCATTTTGTTACAAATGAATATATCAGCTTAGATTTATTTTAGCATGGCTTATGCTTTCCAAATTCAAATTGTAAAGGTTCACTCTGAATAGTCTTTCAGCAAAATGCATCTGGAGAGACAGTTGGATCTCATTTATAAGCCTCTCTCCCTTTCTGCCTTATGCCATAATAAATGTTCTCAACTATAAGATTTTAGATGAGATCAATTGTACTTCCCGCTTATCCCCTTTTCTACTGGCAAGTTAAAAAAAAGATTATTTTTTTCACAGCTTTTAAAAAGGGAGGACTTACTTGATTCATTTTTTAAAAGTAGATAATTTAATAGTCTTGAATTACTGCTTGAATTCCACCTGTAGGTTGGCATTTATTGCAACAAGCAAAAATAAGACGACTGCTCACATCACAGCTTCTTTTTTTCACTGCCAAGAACTATTTGCTATATCAAACAAATTTGTTTCCAAACTTTTCTTTTTTAATATGTTGTAGTTTTTAATCGTTATTTTTGACAGGTGACTGTACAAACTGAAGTCCTAAAATGAATGAAGAGCTCTAGATTCAAGGTATTTTTTAATAATTCTGGCTTGGGGAAAACTTTTAAATCTTTGTCTTTGGATTAAATTACTTAAAACATATACTATTCTTTTTAAAGTGAAGTAATTTACATCTGATGGCACAGTGAATAAGAAAATCCAGATGCAGACGTAAAATGTTTGCCAGCCCTAGTAAGGTTGTAACAAAGAGGAGGAAACACCAGATCTTTTGGGACAAACCATAAGAGATTTCATGTCCAGAGAGGTCCTTAAGAGGCTAACTGTAGTGTGTCTAACTGGGATGGAGTTAATGTTCTTCCAGCAGCCTGTAGGCCCCCATGCTTTGCATCTGTGGCTAAACCAGTGGGGATCACACACACCAACGTGTTGGCGATGTCTGAGAAGTGCTCCTGCAGCAGCAAGGCCCTCTCTTGTTTCTTGTCTCTCCCCTCCTCCCCATTCCCCCAAAGGTGAGTAGGCTGAGGCTGGGCAGAAGGTTGGGAGAAGACACAGATCAGGAACAGCCAGCCCCAACCAACCAAACTGACCAAACCAAAATGGAAAACAATGGAAAGCCACATTTTTCTGTGATTCCTGCATAATCCCATGAAAACTTGTGGAAGTGTTGTAACAAAACAAAATATTCTAGAATGAAGGTGGCATAAAAAGCAGACAGATATTCACAGTATTTGCTTTGCTGTTCAAATGCCAATGCCCTATATACATATATATACCTCAACTTCCAATATTGTCACTATGTGATAAGCTGTATCAATCAAGTGTGAAATGCTAACAAAGTAATTTGTTATAGATTTGTTTATAGATTTGTTATAGATTATAAAGGACATCCAAAAATATATCCCCCAATATCAGCAATGTGTCTGTTCTTGGTATGTGCTACCATCAGTGACTGATTATGCTTTTTAAATTAATAGCTAACTAAGAGATACATAATATATTATCTAAATAAAAACTGGAGGGGGAAAATCACTATTATATGACCACAGGGTTCATTTTCTCAGGCCATCAGCAGTCTGAATGCTTTTTAGCCCTTCTAGCAAATATCCACAATTCCGTTTGCACATTCATTCCAGGAGGACTCTGCCCAAGCAAGTGAGGCTCCTGAAAGAAAGTGATTTTGTCAAGCTCTGACAAAATGTTAGCCAAGAGTTAGTGTGCGGTGCTGGTTTATGATGAATTGGGAGGTGACAGCAGCTTTCTGAGGGAAAGCCTGAGGTTTAGCTACACAATGAGCTTTCTGAGATATACAGACATAGAGCATAGCAATGACAAGAGGGGACAATCAACTTTCTTCATTCCTAGGTCAAAGCATTTTCCCTCTGCTCATATAAATAAGGAATCTCTCTCTTGCAGCTGAGTACTGTAATGGAAAAACATCTCAGAGTGTTTTTTCTTAATCACATAAATCAGTATAATATACATCTCTCTTGGCTGAAATGTCAACTTTCTGCAAAATCAAATCTATTTCATGTTTCTGATCATAATACAAAATTAATTGACTTTCATGTCAATGAGACTGCAGGTGCAGAATGACTCCGATCTAAATAGAACCACAGTCACAGTTTTTAAGGCAGATTCATCAGAAATCAATGTCATAGAGGTAATGGTGGTGTAATAATGTCCAGCAGGTGGCCTAGAGAAGGAACTGCAAGGCATGGGGGAAACTACTAAATTGCCATCCTCGTCAATAAGAAGAAAAGGTGGAAAGGAAATGGAAGAGGAATCTTGCAACAAGTGTCTTTCTGCTGAAAAACTGCTGCCAGCAGTTCTATTAAATTTGCTACCAGCAGTTGCAGTAAATACGAGTGCGAGAGAGACCATGAGGAGGGGTGGGGAAACTGTCTGTTAAATACCTTACATTTAAGCGATGTTAAACAGAATTTAGTGTAAGAAGGTGTGGGAGCAGTTTCTGCTGAGCAGATCAGGAAAATACTCCTTGATAAAATCTTAAAACACATTTGCCTAATTTCCCTTCATGCAAGGATATATGACTTGGCATCTCGTGATAAAAAGAAAGGTGAATGAATGTGAGTGTTCACAAGGTCATTAGTCATTTTAATAGAATTATTCAAATATGGTTTATTTGTTAAGAGAAGGTAGAAACATTTGTGCCATCTCTTCTGCCTGGGGTTTGCATGCAACTGATACACTTAATGCTCAGGGGGTTAAGTGGGTGAGTGTCCAGCGGGTGGGTTACTCTCACAGGGAGAGCAGGGCAGGAGCTGGCTCAGTGCAGAGGCTGTCGCTTCAGACAGAGCACTGCATGATCACAAACTGCACTGCTTCCAGGGTCAGCACTAGTAATTCAAAAGCAGTTTTAGCTACTTCTCCATGGCTGATTGATCAATTCATGACTCCTACAAGCCCGAGCCTGCTCCTTAGAGTGAACCGAGAGTCCTGGGGTGCCTGTTTCAGAGGCAATTAACTGTCCCTCAGCAGAATCAGCCGGGCTCATTTGCTCTGGCTCGGTCCCAGCACCCCGCTGAGCACCACAGAGCCAACCTCACGGCTTTGCATCATTCCTCTCAGGGCAGTGAATTCCAGGAGGCTTATTAACTCCCTCAGCAGCTCTTTGGGAGCAGACAGAGCCAGCTCAGATCTGTGGTCGTGTGCCAGAAACCATTGATCAGAGGGTGCTACAGGGCACAGCAAGGAGTCTGAGTCTCTTCTGTTCTCAGCTCCATCTCATGCTGAATGCTGGCTGACTTCAGTGGTGCTTCTTCAGTATCCCAGCACTGTATTTCCTACTAATCATATTTTGGGGGATCGACATTAGTGTGTCTTGATTTACCCCAGGTAATAGAGAATTCAGCTGTAATATTTTTGGAGCTTACAACATTGGCAGATGGAAGAAAGAATTTTTCCAAGGGTGGTTGTTGAGTGGCTTTGTGATCCTATAGTGATCTCAGTCCTAAAGCCTATCAAGTGGGAAATATGACTGGATTATGTTGACTGTAAATAGGCCATACAGCCCAGTATTAAGGCTGTGCTATTTAATCCGATATTTAAGAAGCCTGCAGCTATTACCAGAGACTGCATATGAGAATCACCTCCAGGAGTGATCTAAGGTGGACACAGAGCAGGTAAAAGAAGTGTCCCACTCTCCTTTTGGATATTGCACACTCTGCAAGAACTGTCTGAGCTGGGTATGACAGATGAAAAATCTGCTTTCCATTAGGTGGATGCAGGTGTTAAAAAATTAAGCAAAGTACTGTATCAGCTACTCCATGCAGCCCCTGCATACATCAAAGATCTGTAGGCCAAGAAGTAAAAGTGTATCCTACTACTACTTTGTGTTAAGGGAATAGTCCTTTTGTGTCCTGCCAGCTCATGAAAGCACAAAGAATGAATTTATGTGCTTGTGAAAAAACCCCTTCTGATAATACTTTCTGAAACCTTAAAATGAGCTCCCAAATTGGTCTTTTATGTGAGTAAGTGCTGTCAAAGTTACAGAAGTGCTTTCTGGAGCAACTGTTATGTAGAAACCTGTCATAGTAAACACTCTTTTATTTCTGTTGCTTAGTTTTTATGTTGTTATGTGCAATAGGGAAGGTAATAAGAAAAGCAAAAGAATAGCTACTAGAACAATTATGACATTTAAGAAAAAGGGAAAACAGCAGTGAAAATGTAGCTAAGGAAGCTTATTTAGTCACTGTACTTGCTAGAAAATATCCAGTATATGCATTACTCTGTTAAAGCAGTCATGACAGTTGAATTGCTGTCAGAAAATCCCTATTATTATGGAAAAAAATGTGAACAAAATAGTTGTATTAAACTGAGACACAAACACAATTTCTTTCCCAATACAGGACTAGAAAAAAAAAAATCCCACTTTTTTCTTGTCTCAACCTCACAGCGGGTTTGACTCATAGTTGGAATAACTTGATAATCTAAATCAAATAACCATCAACTTGCTGATTTATTTGCAACAGTATTTTTAATTTGTTTGTTGCATTATCTCAGTTTTAGTTTAATAAGTAATGGTCTTTACATCTTAATGTGTTCATTAAATCTTTATCTTGCAATCTAAATTTCTTCTAATATGCAATAAGGAAAACTGTAGAGAGTCATTTATACTTTCAAACTGTATCTGTTTCAGATACAGTTTTTCATGTCAAGACTGAAATATAACAACTGTAGTATTTGTATACCCATTATTTCTCATCCTTATAATGAAAATGTTCAAAAAGAAAGAAGCTGAGAGAAAGGAATTCTCAGTTTGGGGAGAAGAGAAAAAGTTTTCAGTGAAAAATAAGATTATCAGCAGACAAAAGTTAACTCAGATGGCTTTGGGGAAAATTCTCTCTCATAGAAAATAGATGATATAATGGAGTTGCTGAGATTTGAGTATTTGATTTGACAGGATACATAGAACCAGAATCACAGAATGATAGAACAGCTTGGGTTGGAACAACCTTAAGGATGCCATGGGCAGGGGCACCTTCCACTAAATCAGGTTTCTCACGGACCAATCTGACCTGGCTTGGAACACTTCCAGGGATGGAGCACCCACATCTTTCCTGGCCAACCTCTTCCACCACCTCATCACCCTCACAGTAGAGAATTTCTTCTTAATTTCTAATTGAAATCCCTCTTCTTTTAGTTTAAAACCATTGAAACCATTTTCCTTTGTCCCATCAATATCTGCCCATGTAAAAACTCACTATCCCTCTTTTTCAGAATACCCTTCAGGTACTAGAAGGTGCTACAAGGTGTCCTCAGAGCATTCTCTTCTCCAGGCTGAACAGCCTCCGCTCTCTCAGCCTGTACTCATACAGGAGATACTCCAGCCTTCTGACAACCTTTGTGGCCTTCCTGTGAACTCTCTCTAACAGGTCAATGTCTTTTATGTACTGAGGACTCCAGATTTGGACACAGTATTCCAGATGGGGTTCTTGCAAGAGCAGAGCAGATATTTAAGCCAAGTTGTATGGAAAACACAGATGTAGAAATGGACTTTTCCCAACAGCTAGTATGAGTTTCCTATTCTTTTTCTAGTTACTATGTTTTACTATACTTTACTATACTTTTCTAGTTAATGAGTGTTTCATTAACTTAGACAAGTTAGTATTAATGACAGTTAGGGTACATATTACTGACTGGCAGGGGATATCTCTGAGAAATGTGCCTTTATGTATTGTGTGCAAGCTGTGGCACATGTGTGATTGCTTGCAGTTAGTGCCAGCTGACCAACAGCTCTGTGCATGCTGGGGCCATCAGGAATTACCTCTCATGATCTGGATAATAAACTGAGTTTTACAGAATTGCCCCTGGGCTTCTCAGTGACAGTCCTTATAACTAACAAGTGAACATAACACAAGAGAATCAGCTGTTAGCCAAGCTTTGACAATTTGGACCACAATGGGTCTGACAGTGCTGCTTGGCGCTCACTGGCACCTCCCACAGCACTGCCATCGGTCATGGAGCAGCCCACAAAGAAGTCATGGAAATGGTGCAAACCTGTTATAGAGTTGCCACAAGTCCTCATGATGATGGGTTCCCTCCAAAGGGAACTCCTGTTTCCTTCAACAATGGCCCTTTGCTTTTGTTTCAGGTTTTGTTGTTGTTTCTTGGGTTGTTAGTTCAGGGTTTTTTTGCTGAGGGGGTGGGGGGGTGGAGTGGGATGGTTTTTGCACTTTAGGCATTGCTGGAGCTAAAAAAAATAAAATCCACCACAGTCCAATATTGGAGAGCATCAAATATATCTCAGCATTGGCTATTTGAGTAGGCTGAAGATTGATTTAAAAAGGAAAATATCTAAGTGAAGGGAAAGTCAGAAGAAGGTTGTTCAAGGAATGACCACGGGGAAACCTCTTACCTTTTCTATAGAAGTGTTTCTAAAACCCGTTTCTCTGGCAGTTGAGTGTTTTTGTTTGTTTTCCCTCGGCAGGGCTAAATCATTTGATGATCTCTGCAGAAGCTTTACCTGTCTTCATCTTCCTCTAAACCCAGACTATTGAAATAATGTATCTGATAGTAGTTTCTTTGTATACAGATGTGGTTAGTCAGTCGTTATTACAGACCAAATAAATATAATTAAAGTCAAATTGAAAACAATGGAAAAGCTGAAAGTTGAATGCTATGTTAACCTGCCTTGCTAGCCCAGATCCTGAATGAAATCTTAAAATTAAGAAGTATCATTTGTCTGGCTGTAATTATATTTGACTAATAGCAGAAATTTATTCTTGGTCTCATTCATTTTGGATTATCCCTATTTGTAAAATGAGCAATTGAAAGGACCTTGATCAAGAATTTTTAAATTTTTAAATTGTTTGCTTTTTAATGAGAGAAGAGAGATCAAACAGTAAGCTAGCTATACCTTAGAGAAATGAATATGTTAAGGGAGTGCAATGATTAGGGAGATTTTTATCTGTGGAGAGGAGAGAAATCTGAAACTGCTCATTCAGATTCCAGTCTACTTCACCTGTGCCACTTAGTGAGGAAAAAGCTTGAATTTGTACACAGGAGAAAAACTTAAATTTGTACACAGGAGAAAATCTGCATTCATATAAGCTGACTAAAAGTTCACTGTGAGGAAATTTTCTGTGTTCTTTATTGTATATTATAAATTTTTGATTGGGTTAGATCTAATAAATTGCATCTGTGCAAACAAACAGTACATACATTCAGATAAAAAGTGCAGAATATTCTCAGCGTTTCACTGGTGTGCAGTTAGGTGGCCCATTAACACTTTTATCATGTGAGTGGCTGCCCCATGGGAGCATCAAATGGTGAAATCTGCATTTTGGCCTAACAGGGCACTGAGTCACTCACCCAAAGAGAGAGCTGCATATTCCTCTCAACCACTCTTACACATATCTTTAATATCAGTCCTCTCCATAGCACGCTCATACTGTATGTTATGTTTTATGAGTAAAACTTCCAGCCATGGGAATTTACAATTAAAATAATCTTCACATTTAGGGCATTTCTGGTACTAGCTCTGACCCTCATTATCTTACTTCTGTTTATGCCTCTTAGATGTGAAACTGAAATGGTTAGTTGTATGTGGTAAAACAAGGAACATCTATTTCTATTTTCAAATGATGAAACTTTCTGGTACTTTGGCTGGGACTGAACTTGAGGGTGGTAAATTTTCAGCATGGTATGTAGGGAGTTAGCTACATGTTACTCATTAACATTAATTCCCATCTGTAAATAATTTTGTAATACTTTAACCAGCAGGGGAGCTATTTCATCTTTTATACTTAGCTGATTGTAAAAATGTATGCTGAAACCATCTGGCCTTAGTGCTTTGTTGGACTTCAGGCTTTTAATAGCCAGTCTGATTTCCTTCGCTGAATTGGGGTTTTCTAATCCCTGGCTCAATTCTCCGTCCAAACTAGGCAATACTGTGTTGCTATTTGTTTGTCAATCAATCCCTATCTTACCAATTGAGATGAATAACAGAGTTGTTATAAAAACTTAGGAAGGCTTTGGGCCTAATTCTCATTCATGCTAAAGTTACTTTACACTACTCCGGTTGCTCATTTACTGAGTGTAAATGCAATTTACTGCCTGAGCAATATAAAGCGACTGTAACATAAATGAAAATCAGGTCCCCTATGTTCAGAGCAGCTAACAAGTTCAAATTGCTGAGTACTATTTTCCCACAGGAGCTAGTGTACTAGAATTTCAATGCATATAAAGAATGCAACAAGCCAATTAAAAAATGAAGATATTAAACGAGAAATTGAATGGTTATTTCTAAGCTCTGTTTAGAGACGGTTGATCCAAACAATGAGACTGACTTAGGCTGGCTGTTGCAAATATGCCAGCTTCATCTAAAGTTCAGCCCTGTGTGGTGCTTGGAGATTTGCCATGGTACATGGAACAGACCATTCTTATTACTTAAAGAAGGAGGACTACATTTCAGAGGTGCATGCAGGGCTTCCTGACTTACCTGATAGCATTTCCTTCCAAGGGACTGTCACTGAGATTCAACAGTTGTTAACTACTGATGCACAACAGTGTGTTTTGGTAATGGTTGAATGAGGAGATAATTGCAGATAATCTTGAGACTATACCCACCACAAATGCCAAAGCAGACACTGCTACCTCACTGCTTTTCCCATTTATGAAGTAATGGTTTTTATTGCCTAAAATCTTTTAAAAATGGATCTGAGCCAATGCTGGTCTATAGGAAGGAAGATATTTGATGGCAAGTAAGAGTGTGGAGTGGGCTATTCCAGTTTAGACAGAGGTCAGTTATTACCATGCTCTCCTTATACCTCTTACCCCTCTCTTACACCTGCATATGGATATCAGCAACTTCACTTTGATGTGAAGTTCACATTCCTGTCCCTCTCCTCCTTTTCTTTTGTTCTGCAGAAGATACTTCAATAATCCACATAGTAGTAAGGAGTTGTTCTATTGTGGAAATCACAGGCGCAAGAACACAAATTTGTGGATTGCTAATACATGAATCCATATATGTCATAATTGTCCTCTGTTCTGTTCACTACTTCAGACCTATAAATCTGTGCCTATTCTTCTCTCACCAGCTGCTAGTCAGCTGATTTTAATCCTACCTTTACCTTGCTGAAGAGCACAGAGAATGTATTGATATAACATCTTATACAATGATTAATAGCGTTCTGGGGCTGCTAAATAACAGCCTGGTTGTCTAACGAGGGACTGTGTTAAGGTGTGCACACCACAGCCCAGACCATTCCTTTGCTTCAGCAGCATTCTCAGATACCATTCTGTCTTTGAAGTACTCCTCATGATGAGCAGCTCCTGAGGCTTGATTCTGTGAAGGAAAACCCATGTGGTTCCTGTCCTGAAGAAGCAGATATGTTCCTGTTGCACAAATAAACATCAACACTTTGTCCATTTAAAAGTGACTTTTGTACTTTTCTAAGGAAGACCTGTGCCTAAAATTACTTCTCTGATTTTTAAATGAAACATAAAATTCAGCCTATTGCTCCTATAAGTAGGCAAAAGGCTTTGTGCTTATTGTTGCTAATAAACAGAAACCTCTTATTCTTTGACACTGAGCATTGTGACTTACACCACTGTAATCAATAGTGGAATATTTTCCTAGTCCTCAGTTCAGATAAATCAGTGTAAGTACTAAAATATTTTTGAGATGTTGTTCCTTCTATCGTAACTTTACATTTTGCTGTGAGAAAAAAAATCTATGTAATGTTTTAGAGCTAAGTTGATCATCATATATTACTTAGGCAGTTATGATTAGTTTCACAAATGTTAAAATGTTATAACATCATTTAATGTTGTGGTGAACATAGGAATTTCTCGTGCCATCTATTGTTGGAAGATGTAGACTTGTAAAAGTTGATTTGCATATTCTATGGTAAAGAAGCATTAAAAATTTAATGTTTTACTGAGTTTTATTGCAAAATGAAATAGTTTATGTAATTGTGTATTTGGAATGTTTGTACTTTGCATTCTTTGAAATTTGTCAGTCTTCACAAAGAATATCTCTGGGTTTTATTTTCATTACTATCTTGCATTTGAAATCAAACTCTATTTCAGTTTTAGACGCTGAGTAAAAGCTTGTAATGATTTACTGTACAATAGGAAAGAAACCAAATTTTTGCTTGTTGGATACACTTAAATTTTGGTTAGAAGGTTCTTCAAAAGTGCACAGTACTTTGAGCCTGAGTGTTGTCATTCCTAAGCAGTGCTGTGACCTCTTCCACTGATTGAGAAACATAGGTCCACTCTCAGGCTCCTTCCTTCACCTCTTTGTGGTGCTTGAAAAATAGAGTCCCAGCCTTTACTTACAGCAGAGTGCTGTGAGGCGTGCAAGGTGTCTGTGCTGGAGGGGGTGAGGGGCTCCAAATAGACCTCAGAACATCTGGATGTCATTCCTACCTTTCACGATTGATGTAAAAAGAAACCTCTGAGCAAAGCTGAAAGCAGATATAAAGAGACTGGGATTTTCTCACTCTCAGCATGCTTGGGAGCTGTTGCCTTGGGAGTTGCAGTGGTATTCTTTTTCCTGAGGGAAAGGTAAGAGCTGTTTCCTACCACTGTCAGAAGCCCTGAAGAATTGCTACAGCGTATCTAGACTGCTGTGGTCTCTGGCTGCCACAACAGGGGACATTTGTCTTGGTGACATTTGAACGATGATTTCTCAGTGTTATTTTCCTGTATTGCCACTATTTGCAGCATTGCCACACTCCATAGAAAAATCTTTGTCAAAACTGGGCCAGTTTTACTCCAGGAGTGTTAATCTGCCTTGGAAATGCCTCTAAGCCACACACTTCATCACCTGGCTTTTGGGGCCACTCCTGCTTTATGGCTGCTGTTACTTTACAACAAATAGTAAAAAGATTTTATCTGTGGGAAGAAGGCAGTGACTATGTGCATCAATAGGTACATCTGCAGGATGCCGATGTGATCAGAAAAAATGCAGTCTAGCTAAACCCTTTTTAAATGAGGATAAAATTCAGTTATGTTGCCCACAGCCATCCATTCCAACTTGGTCTAATCCCTCATTCACTCTAATTTGATGGTGGTGCGCTCCTGCCTGTCAGTTCATCCTCCACTGCCGTCCCCACATAGGCAGGCATTCATTTGACTCAACCCAAATCCCCTCAATATACTCTGATTTTCAGACACGATCACATCATGACTTATGCACCATTGTGTAGGTCAGCATACAAGGACCATGTAGAAAAGCAGAGAAGCAAAGACTAAATAAAGGTTTGTGGATAAAGGATAAAGGAATCACTCAAGAGGGAAAAGTGCACAAATTTCCAGACAAGGCTTCTTGAACAGGAATTTTTGAAAAGAATCTTTTACAGTAAACTGTATTTGTTTAAAAATACCAGCAACCTGCAGAGCAAGGACCAAAGCTTCCTTCCCATATTCTAGCAGAATGCCCAGAACACTTCCTATTTTAGCCTAAGGAGATTGGGAAGTTTGTGTTTTTTCTTTTTGAATATGTTGTCTTCCTAAGAGCAGAAATGTAAACTTTGAAAAATTGTTCTATTCCTTTACCACTGGCAGGATTATTTTTAACAGTTAAAAATAATAATGTAAGAAAAAATAGCTATATCACAGAATGATCAAAATAACTCTAACTGAAAAATACTCAATTTCTGTATGGCAAAACAGCTTTCTTATGACAAATCAGCATTGCTGTTTTGCTTGGGTAAATCACTTCATAAGAAAAATATAACATTTAAATATAGAATGATTTACTATTAAATTACAAACTATATGTTTTAGCTTTAAATGAGTGTGCAATAATCCTTCATTGCCTCACAAATATAGTTCTGTTTTCCCTTCAGTTTGTAACTCACAAACTATAACATTTTGGAAATAACACCCTTCTTTTCGCTTACAGGTCTATAATAAGAAGAATAGCAAGACACAATTCCACAGAGATATAGCTTGAGAAGTTAAGCAGTTTGAGACCTTTCAGATTGTTTTATTCTCCCCTGAAATTGATTTTGCAATCAGAAATGTCTTTGTTGTAATCTTGTTTACTCTTGAAAAATGTACGTGGAATCCTATTTTCCTGAATATGGTGGCAAATAAGAAATAGGAGACACATCTTTCATCTGATAACATTTTACTCTAAATTCTCTTGTTTGGGTTGCTCTCTGACTTAATTCTCGTGCTGTTTCCTGTGTTTTCCTTCTGGTGTACACATGTGCACTCAGTAATTTCAACTCTGGTCATCTATTAACAATCTGGATTTAGAACACAAGTCCTGTGAGGAGCAGCTGAGGACTTTGGGTTTGTCCGGTTTGGAGTGAAGGAGGCTGAGAGGTGGCTTCATTGCTCTCTGGAGGAGCTTCCCGAGGAGGGGAAGTGGAGAGGGATGTTCTGATTGCTTCTCCCTCCGACCCAGTGATAGGACAGAAAGGACTTTCAACCTGCACCACAGGAGATTCAGACTGGATTAGGAAGCGTTTCTTCATGAGAGGGTGGTCAAACACTGGAACACGCTTCCTAGAGAAGTGGGCAATGTCCCAAGCCTGTCAGCATTTAAGAGGCATTAGGACAATGCCCTTAATAGCGTGCTTTAACTTTTGGTCAGTCCTGAATTGGTCAGTCAGCTGGACTGGATGATTGTCTTAGATCCCTTCCAACTGAACTGTCCTATTCTAAGGTTCCATTGCACTCTGCCATGAGTAAAATAGTCAGAAATTGTACTGCTTCCTTGTTTGGCTTAAATGAATAACTGGCCTTGCTAGCCACATCAGCTTCCTAAAATCAGTGGTCCTATATCAGCTAAAGACCTAAGAATTATAAGCCATTCAGCTTCCTGCATAACAGCTGAATTGTGACAAAACATTAATTTAAGATTTTCAATTGAGATATTTGCCTTCCTTACATTTTTATGGCACCTGGGGCAGCCAACAAGATCAAGACTTGAGTGTGTAAAAATTACATTATGTCATACCAAGTTTCAGAAAGAAAGGACTCTCACAGGCAAAAATGAGTTATTAAACATGAAATAAAAATACATGAGAGCATTCTAACCCCAAATTCAGAACCTCTTTGAAGAAGCTCAGCTACAAACTTTAATTTCATTTTCAGCATCATGTTGAAATTTTTTGCTTTGATTTGTAGCAATAGATGAGCTACTGCCATAAATATAGAAGAATTGTTTTTTTAAAAAAATCTTATAAGCAGCCACAGGCAATTTAAGAAGTATAATTCCCAACTGTTTTGATAAAAAACATCTTAGCAGATTTTCAGTTGCCAAATGTTTTTAATGCTGTTCTGAAATTGGGTAGAAGTTTGGCTGAGTTGATTCTTCACTCAGGATAAAATTACAAATCTATTAAGCACATTTTAGATCTGATAGTTCAAATTATTAGGTGTCACAAGGCAAAACACAAGTCAATGAGGAAGCTGAGTTTTGTGGATCAGATGTGTTCATAATCTCTATGGGGACAATCCACTTGACTAAACACTGCATGTACATAAGATCCATTAGAAACACTTCCAGATACTGTAAATATATTTTGGAATGTTTAAAGGTACGTAATACAGATATTGAAATGTCTAATACCACTTGCAGTATTCCTTGCATTACATGTATACAGCTTATATTGGTTCCAAAATTCAACCATACCACCTCTTAGATACTGATTTCCAAATTTAAGAGCACTGTTTATATTTGTCACTATCTCATGTCTTGTATTGCCAGAATGCCAGCTGAAGCCATGTATGAAATCATGCTTGATTGGAGGAGGTAATGGCAGAGAGCCTGAGCTGTAGAAAGCAACTGGAAGGTACAGAAGACTGCCTTGGCTTTGTTTGGCAAGTGTGATGCTCCAGCAGTGTTTATCCAGCAGGGACTCCTGGATAAGGCATTAATGTCATTATGGTTATGTTGTCACATCTTGACAAACATTACTTTGTGCATACATCTTACAGACTGAACATGTAGGAAGAATAGGAATAAGTTTTCAAAAGTTATTTGGGGTAATTTGAATTAATTTCCACCCCTTCTCTGTAATTAAAAATGAGAATGAGGAAAATTACTAAGACTCACTTTTGAGAAATTAAAAAAATTTAAGGCCTATATGCATGTCTTTTGCTGGAATGTCCACTTTTACCCACAAAGAGGCAAGCAAAATCTTTCATGTGCTTAGCTTCAGAACATGAAGTTACATTCACATATTTTTCTAGAATTGTGACTATTTGAATACTCTCATTTGATACGGATCAGATTAAAGATGCTACAAAGATGATACACTGGTATGGTAGATTAACTGTGGCTAACAATGTCCTACCCAGCTGCTCTCTCCCTGCTTCTCCTCAGTGGATCAGGGTGAAAAAAAAAGAACCCACAAATAAACAATTATTCAAAGTCTCTGAAGATGGCCAAAGTCAGAGGTCTGGAAACACGTTTTTCATTGGAAGAGGATGTTTCTGCAAGATCGGCAATGGCCATTTGTTCAGTGTGGGATGGTTATGATTATGGTGCTACTTTGTCTATTAACTTAGAAAAAGTCAGTTTGGAAAAGTATTTTAACCTGTAATATGGTGGGACATAAGTGCCTAAGGATCAGAATCAGACTAAGACTTATTTAGCTACAAGGAGAGATTGTCTTTGTTGCTTGTCCATTCATTTTTTTTAATGTGTGTTAGTGCTTCATGAAATCATGCAATGGCCCTTGTGGAATATGTG